CCCCCCCCCCCCGGCACAACATGCCCGCCCAGGGCCATGGCGGGATGCAGCCACCACCCAGTTTGTACCCAAACCGTGCCACATCCTGCCACCCAGCCCAGCCCTGCTTGCGAGGAAGGGACCGCAGGGCTCGGTGGCAGAGCCACCTCCATAGGGACATCCCCAGCATCCCCCTGCCCCGCCTGCATCCTTGGGACAGGAGGGCCTGTCCCACCGGTGACGCTTGGTCCTGGTTTTTCTAGGTCCCACACGTGGTCCCTGGAAGAGGTGGTCCACGTGGCGGGTGCCGCCGTGCCCTCTCTGCTGAGGGCACCCAACAGAGTGTCCCACGGGACGGTGCCATGGGTGCTGCTGGAGCCCCGGGTGGGGTGTTTGGGTGCGTGGTCCCTCTCGGCACAGCCCTGTCCCTTGGTCTGGCCCTCCTGGAGGGTCTCATCCACCCCAAGGATGGCAGCTTGGGGACCGTGAGGACGGGGCTGCCCAGCAAAGGGGACATCCAGGTGTTGCTGCCACCTTGCCCATCCCGGGATCCGGCAGCTCCGGTGTGGCCCCAGCGGCTTTGCAACGAGGCTATTTCTGACCCCGCAACCTAATTTTACCCTCCCCACCCAGCTCTCTGTGCGAGCTGTCCCCTGGCTAAATCCAGCCGAGTGCTGGCTCCTCTCTGCCCACGTCTCTTGCGAAAGCAGCTCGACAGGTCCTTGGTGGAGGTGGGCGGTGAGGTTTCTGCTCCTGCTCACCACTGTGACACCTCTCCTCTTGGACCTGCTGCTCTGTGGGCAACCAAACCCCTTTCCCCAAGGACGTGGGTGTCCCAGGAGTGCATGCTCCCCACATGCCCATCCTTAACATCAGGGGACACCAAAACTGGAGGGTAAGGGTGACTTGGGGCTGTCCATCACCTCCACGTGCCATCGTGCCAGCTTGCCTGGGGTCTCCAGGCCAGCAGCAGTCTCAGTTCCTGCTTTTCCCTGGGGGCCAGGTCACCAAGAAATGGGTCTTTTGGGAAAATAAATTGCCGTGAGCCAAGCTGAGCACCCAGCATGGCCCAGGCCATGGTGGGTGCCCCATTAAAGGCTCTGCTGGTCACCCCATGGTGTCCCTCAGGGACCCACTGTGTCCCCGAGCACCCCAGAGGCAGGAGCTGCACCCGGGGCGTCCCAGAGCTCCCAGCCATAGCATGGAGCAGTTTCGGCAGCCGCCTTGTGCCGTTCAGAGAGCGGAAACCACGTCACATCCTGACGGGGTGGCCCCGGGGGGGTTGGCGGGGGCCAGAGTTGTGCAACGGTGGCATGGAGGAACATGGTGACACACCAGTCCCTGCACTGACATCATGTCTCTAAAGAAACACTGATTTCACCAGCCAGGCTTGTCACGCACCTGCAGCGGGGGCACTCGGAGGTGACCGTCACACTCAAGCAGGACCCAGACTCCTGGGTTCCTCAGCTGTGTCACCAGCTTGTGTCCCTGTCCCTCACCCCAAGTGGCTCTGCTGGGACTGGGCTGGCTGAGGCCGGGAGCATCACACATGTGTGACATGGATGGACGGGTCCAATTTTTCCTCCTGTCCCCTATTAACACCCCCCGCCCTCCACCTTGGGGACCCCCAGGTGGGGGCATTGCTGATGGGTCCGTGGCTGGTGGGATGCTAACAACCTGGAGATGGTGGTGTCCCCATCCTCCCACCGATGTCCCCATCATCCCACCACTGAGCAAGGACACCCAGTGCTGGGCGAGCTGGGGTGCTACAGCCCTGGGGGTTGTTTTCGGCGGTGACCCCTAACCCTGACACCTATCACCCCGCAGAACTCCATGAACCTGCCCCCAGACAAGATGAAGCTGCTCAACCAGTATGACAACGAGAAGAAGTGGGAGCTCATCTGCGACCAGGTGAGGTCCGGGTGTCGCAGCATCCCCAGTGCCGTCCCTGTCCCCGAGCACCGCTTGCAACGTGGGCATCAACTCGGCATATGCCTAACGCCAACATCCATCTCTGTTAGAGAGACAGCGTGTTGTTAACCTGATTAAACATTGATGCGCGACCATCTGCAGCGCGGGGGGGGGTGGGTGGGATGGGGACATGGTGGCTGCCACGTCCCCGTGCTGCGGGCGGGTGGCCTGGTTTCAGCCTCTCTCCGGGGCTCGTAGGAACGTTTCCAGGTGAAAAACCCACCGTCTGCCTACATCCAGAAGCTGAAGAGCTACTTGGACACGGGTGGTGTAAGCAGGAAGGTGAGGGCTCCCCTTTGCACCCCTCGTCCCCATCCCGGGTCGGGCGCAGGGACGGTGCCAATGGCTCTCCCTGTCCCCCAGTTCAAGAGGCGAGTGCAGGAGTCGACGCAGGTGCTCCGGGAGCTGGAGATTTCCTTGAGGACCAACTACATCGGGTAAGGAAGAGGGACCTGGGGGGTGTCCTTGTTGTCACCTGGCTGCTGCTGCTGTCCCTGGCATTGCTGGGGCAGGGACTGGTGTACCGGTGGCTTCTGGCTGTGGGGGTGGCAGCAGGATGTGGAGGCTGGTGGCCTCATCCTGCCCCTCTGGGGTGGCTCTGATGGAAGGACGGGGGTCCTGAAGTAGCCGGCTGTGCCATGGTTGCTGTAGGACCCCATTTTGGCTCTGCCAGGTGGGTGCCACCATGGTACCTCCTGGGTGCCAGGATGAAGCCTGGTCCCCACCCTGGGTACCCCGGCCCCTTGTGGTACGGTGGGTGCTGAGCCGTGGGTGCCCATGGTCCTGCCACCCACGGCTGGGCTGTCCTGTTGTGGTGGCAGCAGTGGCAGCGGAGCCCTTGGGCTCTGTCCTTTGGGGCACCAGGAGGTGGGGTCAGCATGGCACCCACCTGCCTTGGAGAGGTGCCATCTCATGGTGCCACCTCATGTCCCCAGTGTGTCCCACCCTCACTGGGGACCTCTGGCCAGCGGGTGGCTCTGCTGGGGCATGTGGGGGGGGAGAAGGGAGGATGAGGAGGGCTGGCAGAGCCTACTAACCCCCTGCACCCCACAGCTGGGTCCAGGAGTTCCTCAACGAGGAGAACAAAGGGCTGGACGTGCTACTGGAGTATCTCGCCTTCGCCCAGTGCTCCGTCGCGTACGTCCCCACCGGGTCCCCCTTCCCCAAGGCTGGGATCAGCCTTCCCTGGGACTCAGGGGGGCTGAGGGGGGGTGTCCCTGGGGGTGCTGTCCCCTGTCATCGGAGTGATGGAGCTAAGGATGCTCCGTGGCTGGGGTTGGACACAGCATCCCCGACACCCCCAGCCCCGGGGACCCCAGAGGGCTGTTTGCCCGTGTCAGGGTGCCACGTCTCACCCGTCCCTGTGTCCCTGTGGGTCACCAGGTATGACATGGAGAGCGCCGAGAACGGCAGCCCAGGCTCCGACAAGGGCAAGGGCCTGGAGCGGTCGCTGGAGGACCTGAGCAAAAGCAGCTCCTCGTCCCCCACCCAGGGTTCCTCCAAAGTGCGGCACCTCACCGTCAGGTAACGCGTGGTCCCGTCCCCAGCTGTCCCCCTCCCTGTCCCCGCGCCGTGTCCTCCCCCTGCTCTCCGCCTCGCTGCACCCCCGGCCGCATCGTGCTCGGAGAGGGACTCGGCAGGGAGACGCAGGCCTGGTCCTAAAAATGGGTCCCCATCGCTGGTTTGGGGGGGACAAAGCCACGTCCCCCTGTGTGCGCAAGGGATAAAGCCTGCCAGGAGCTGGGCTGGATCCGTGCCCCCAGCCCGGCACTGCAACCGTTGTGGGATGCTCTGGGTAAAGCCCAAGAATAAGCAAAAATTGGAAGTGATTGAGATTTTGGGCGAGCAAATCACACCCACCCACCACCCTCCCCCGGTTTAAAACTGGGGTGGAGGAATGGGCCTGCGCCCCCCCCCCCAGCCGGTCCCGGTGGCCGGTGGCTCTCGCTTGGTGCCACTCGCCCCCGCAGCCCCCTTCTAACCCCGCTCTTCTCTTGCACGCTGCCGGGGGGACGCGCTGACGGTAGGTGACGGGCCCGGGGCGCTGGCGTGACGGGGACGCCCCGGCGGGACCCTGCTGCTGGTCACCGGCATGGGGGACCATGCCTGTGGGGCATCCCCGGTGGGCAGGGGGGGGTCCCAGGGGACACCCCGCCGCGGTCACCCCGGGAGCCTTAATGTGGCACCCTAGGGACCGCGGGGGTCCCTCACCGCCTGCCAGCAGCTCCGGAGGAGCTGGGGCATCCCCCCCCAGCCCCAGGGACAGGTCAGGAGTGACGTGGCACCCGCAGGGGGTCCCAGCCCTTGTCCCCCACCCGTGTCCCCAAGCCTGGGTGTCCCAGGGGCAACGCGGGAGCCCCGTTTCTCCCTCCTGTCCTGCAGGCTCTAACGCTGCTCCAGCTGCTGCCTCTCGAACCAGCACATCCACACCCTCCTCCGCCACGTTCACCCCAGCGTCCCCTACGGCGCCCCGGGCAGCGATGGGGACAGTAGCCCCAGGTCACCCGGCAGCTCCTATCCACCCCGGTGAGCCTCCGAGACCACCCATGCACACGAGGGACTCCCGACCTCCATCCAACCCCCCCATCACCCCCCCACCCCAAGGGCTTGTAGATGGGGGTGGACGTGGGGGTCTCTCCTATGGGGTCACAAATGCCCAGGTCCCCTGGTGTCATCCCCGCCCCTGCTGCCACCCACCCGTGCGCTGCCCCCTCCCTGCTTGCGCTGTGCCCCCCGGTTGCCCCCCCCGGCCCCCGCTCAGCCACCCTCTCGCCCACCCAGGCTGAACCCCTCGCACAGCAGGAAGACGCTGAGGAACTCCCGCCTCGTCAGCCAGAAGGACGACGTCCATGTCTGCATTATGTGTCTCCGCGCCATCATGAACTACCAGGTGGGAGAGGGTGGCGTCCTCGGGGACCCACCTGGGGCTCCCCAAAATCTCCAGCCCCTGCGGCACCATTTTCGGGGTCAGGGTTTGGGGTGGGACCTGTTCGCCATCCCCTTACTCCGAGATGTCCTCACTCAACCTCATGTCTGGTGGGGACGTGGCTTAGGGATGTCCCAAGGTCCTGGAGCATCCCTGGGGTGGGGACAGGAGGACGCATGACCCCATTAATGTTCCCTTTCCCCCCAAAGTCTGGCTTCAGCCTGGTGATGAACCACCCAGCCTGTGTCAACGAGATCACCCTGAGCCTCAACAACAAGAATGCCAGGTAGGACCCGTCCCCCTGTCCCCTTGCTCGCCCCGTGGCCCTGACCCCCTCATGCCCCATGTCTCCGCAGGACCAAGGCCCTGGTGCTGGAGCTGCTGGCCGCTGTCTGCCTGGTCCGAGGTGGCCATGACATCATCCTGGCCGCCTTTGACAACTTCAAGGAGGTGAGTCCCCAGCAGGGACGTACAGTCCCCACATTGACACCCGTGCTCTGGCTGGGTTCGTGCCTCAGTTTCCCTATATGTGGCAGAGCCCTGCATCATCAGGGGATCCTCCATCCTGAAAATGCCCATCCCGTGACTTGCTCGGGGATGCTCCAGCTGTTGGGCTTGATGTCCCCATGCCAGCACGTGTCCCCAGGGCCACGTCCCAGCCAGACTGGGTGCTGGGCAGCACCCATCAGGGTTGGGATGTCATCACTGGTGGGTGCCTTCTGCCCTGCCACCCCCCTGGGTGCCCACCCTGGCCCTCAGCCCCCTGCTCCCACCCCAGGTCTGCGGGGAGAAGAACCGCTTCGAGAAGCTGATGGAATATTTCCGAAATGAGGACACCAACATCGACTTCATGGTGAGTGGCTGGCTGGGCTGGTGCTCTGCTGTCCCCTGGGCACTGTGTCCCCATGGGTGGCCGAGCCACCATGCTGTCCTGGGGGTGCCATGTCCCAAGGGCTGCCCAGCTGTTGTGCTGTCCCCAGGGCGTTGTGTCCCCAAGAGGTTCTGAGCCACAGAGCTGTCCCCAGGGCATCATGTCCCCAAGAGCTGCTGAGCCACTGGTCCTTCCCCAGGTCCCTAGGACTGTGAAACCACCATGAATTCCCCAGGGGCACCGTGTCCCCAAGGACTACCAGGCCACCATGCCATGCTGGTGACCACACTGAGCCTATGCCCGTCCCGCAGGTGGCCTGCATGCAGTTCATCAACATCGTGGTGCACTCGGTGGAGAACATGAACTTCCGCGTCTTCCTGCAGTACGAGTTCACCCACCTGGGGCTGGACCAGTACCTGGAGGTGGGTGATGCTGCACGGCCCCGGTGCTAGAGGTGGGTGGGTGCTGGGGGTGGGGGGGTACCACCGGCCGTGACGGTGCCACCGGCTTTCCCATGGCAGAGCCTCCGTCTCACTGAGAGCGACAAGCTGCAGGTGCAGATCCAAGCCTACCTGGACAACGTCTTTGACGTGGGGGCCATGCTGGAGGACTCAGAGACCAAGACGGCCGTGCTGGAGCACATGGAGGAGCTGCAGGAGCACGTCAGCCAGGTGGGACGTGGGTGCGTGGGCAGGAGCTGCTGACGCAAGCCCTGAGGGAGGGCTGGGGATGGGGCTGAGCAACGTCGCCTCGTCCTCCGCAGTTGACAGAGAAGCTGCAGGATGCGGAGAACGACTCCATGGCCAAGATAGCGGAGCTGGAGAAGCAGCTGAGCCAGGCGCGGCGGGAGCTGGAGGCTCTGCGGGTGAGCACCCATGGGTGCTACAATACTGGAGAAAGGGATGGGTGCCTGGGGGACTGGGGTTTAAGGGTTGCAGTGGGACACCAGTGATGTGCCAGGGCTTGTCACTGCTGCAGGAGCAGCTGAGCCCACCGCGGCCACCCAGCCCGCCGGCCCCGCAGCCCCAGGAGTGCTACCGGCTGGCGCTGGAGCGGCGGCTGGCGGAGCTGGAGGAGAAGGGGTTGGTGCAGATCCTGCGTGGGCCCGACGGAGACGTTGCCATCGAAATCATCCCCGTCGTCATAGAAACCCCGGCGGCCCCCGTGGTTACCGGAGAGGCCACCGCCACCAGCACCACCACTGGCACAGGTACCATGGGTGCAGGGGGATGGCAGCAGCCCATGATGTCCCCTTCCCAGTGGGGACACCCGGCACAGAGGCGGGGTGGCAGTGTGTCTCTGGGTAGAGAAACTGAGGAAGGGGCGCAGGGATGTGCCCAGGGACGCAGAGTCACTCAGTGGCAGAGGGAATGTGGCGGTGGCACTGGGCCCTGCTGGGCCACCATCTCACCCACGTCTTCTTTCTGTTGCAGATGCTCCAGCTCCAGTTCCAGCCCCATCTCCCCCACCAGCACCCG